AAATGAGATAAAGTTTTAAAAGAATTAAGAAAAAAGTGATTTTAGATGAAGCTTTAAAAGCAACAGCGGACATTGAAAATCAGATTAATAATTTAATGAAGCGTTAATAAATTAATAATTTTATAAGATAATGTTTCATATACGTTAATAAAAAGAAAAGTTATGTTTGAGAATATAAATACAATTCTCTTAAAGATGCAATAAAGGCAAGTTACTAATAAGAAACTTGGATTTAATATCTATTATTATATAAAACAGAATAAAGCAGAGAAATTATCGTTTGTGTTGAATATTTATTTCATGTATTTGGAGCAATAATATTGCTCCAAAGTTTGCGTTTCAATTTATATGTCGTACAGAATCCTAACTTGAATACAAAACATATAATATCGCGTAAATTAACAAAAATTAATCAATCTGGAAAAACCAGGATTTTTATCTGAAAATCCTGAAATTATCTTCAAACCGATTAGCCACATATCGCATCAGGGCATCCTGATTAGATTCGTTACGTTTAATCGCGAATTGGTAATGACAGAAATAATTGGAATGACAAAAAATAATCTACATATATAGATTACTGTTACAGTGCAGATTTTTATGCTCTTTCTTTTCCTTTGGAAGAAATGAAAATCGTGCACGATTCTTATTTCTATCCCATCGCGCATGTAATTCTCTCCACGCGAAGGCTCGATGAGTCAGCCTCGGCGAGCCGATCAGGCCGGAAATCGATATCAAGCAAATCGACGATCAAGATTCGAGCTTTCTCTACAGGCGGCCGGCGACAAGCAGCTTCCTTCTTCTGCTTTAATGTTAAAGCCTTCAGAACCATCGGAGCATTATTGAGCGTAGGGCGAGCGAGAGAGGCGCGCGCGCGCATGGAAGGATGGTCGGGTGCTCACCTTACCCATAGCACCCACGCGGATCGAATCCAATTCGTCGGCACGCGTCCAGATACCCGCGGAAGGTCACAGACGCCTGCGGCCCTTTCCCTCTCCCTCTTTACCACACCTCGTGTTCTGCATTAACCCTCTCTGTCCCATTTCCTACCCTCAATCCGTCCTTCATCCTCTCGAGATAGAGCGCGCGCGCGCTTAAAGCGCGCGATAAAGCTGTGGTGGCGGCGCGGCGGCCGTGTGATCGAACGCGAAAATCTTCAACGACAGCCGCCCAAATGAATGGAATGCCGACCTACGCCTGGCACAGTCGTCTGATAGGCTGCCGTCCCCTCCTGCCAGGGTGAAAGAGAACAAACCAGCGAGCCGAGTTAAGCCGAGCTGAGCCGAGCTGAGCGCGATGAACGGGGCGAGGCCGAGGACGGGCTTCGTGTAATGTAAACGGCAAGGGCCAAGGCCGTATTACTCGATGGCACGTTTTGCCATCCTCCTGTGCGCGTCTTTCGCTTCAAACTCTTTACAACCGCAACTTGACGTCGCGTATGTAACTGTATATGGAGTGCCCACGACAACGTGGGCGGTTTGGCAAAATCTCATTAAATTCAAATCGATTTTTCTTCTATCGGACATTTAATTGGATCTATCTATCTGTGGAAATTCTAGAAATCTTCAACGTCTAATTTTCAACGCCTTGCTATTGTATAATTACGCCTCAAGAATTTGTCCAAGCTTATCTAAAATTGCCTATAGATTAAAAGACTATTATATATACATTTTTTAATCGATTATAAACATTCATATTCTCATTCTGGTATAATTTCCGAAAATAAATAGTTTTACTGTTTGCTTTAAATCAATATTTAATATTCCTAAACTTTTTGTATATGGAGAATAAAATTTGAAATTAAACCCAGTTATTTTTTTGCCTCATTGATAATTTATGTCATTCTGGTAAATCAATAGACTCCTGGTACTACATTGTACTTGTAATACATTTCAATTAATAATTCAGTTGCAATCTAGATTTAATAGGTCTATGTTTCAAGTTTTCTAGGATTAATCAATATTGTAAATACGATTAATATTAATATTTTTTTTCGTACCTTAAATCTTTTAAATCTTTTACATAGTTATAGAGTGAGTCTCATAAGTCTATTCTAAAATTATGAATTGTGTTTCTTGATAAAAAAGAAAAACATGCATTTCTATGAAGGTTAGATTGAAAATACTCCGTTATCGAAATAATGAACATAAATACGATAGTATCAAATAACGATTATATTTAAAAGTTTCAAGCATTTTTTATTTCAAGAGATGTTTAAAAAGTCTTCCATTTTCCATACATAAAATAGAATAAATCTAATCTGATATCGTAATAATTTCAATCTAACGTTCACGAAATTTAAAAAACGTACTTATGATTCATTTTGTATATTTTTATATTCCATTCTTTACTTTTTCCTACGTATGTAAATAATATATAAATTAACATCATTGTTTATTTCTGTTTTCAAGAAACAAAAGCACAATGGAATTATTTCCATTTGGAAAATTCATTTCTAATCTAAACAAAAACCTTTCTCTTTGTTTCCTATATGCATTCATTCTTCTATCCATATTAATGTAAATATATTAGTCGTTTTATAATAGCTACGATATTGCAATATAATCCTGACTTCTCTTTAACATCGTCTGTATTCGATATTGATGCACAGACTATTCTAAGTGTATTATGCTTCCACGAAACTCGGATTGATTCCGCGAGACGGAGAGGTCATTGTTTTGTCGTACATCTGGGAAATCGTTAGTGCAGTATTACACTGCCCAGACTTGGGGCATATTACGACGGATATATCGATATACCATTACATCATCACATACAAAAAAAAATGCGTCATGCATAAGACTTATCAATTGAAAACAGGTGCTGAGATAAGAATTGTACTGTTTATAAATTTCTATCCCTTCCTCACCGTGAATCTCTCGAGTAACATCGTGCTTCGAACATATCACAATTGAATGTTGCAATTCGCGAAAAGCAACGGACATGTTCGGCAACGAATGTGACGGAAGAGTTCATTACATAGTCATATGTACGTGTATATATATATATATACATATATATACATATATACGAGGTAAATAGATAACAGGAGGAAAGTGACGATATTGATTCGATCGTGAGAGAGACAGGAGATAGAGAGGGAAGTAGCCTAACAAATGTGGAGGTGGTACGGAACCGTCTGTATTCGGCCCTGTTGGCGAACAGCACAGCACGTGCACGGCAGTGTGCGTGTATGTCGTGTTGGGTCTTTTCTCTCTCTCTCTCTCTCCCTCCCCCTCTTACGCGCGCCTACGCACGCGTGAGAGAGAGCGCGCGCGTGTAACGTGCGGTGGCCCATTCCGCCGAAGCCACTCCGCCGCTTCAACGACGGCTCAGTCAGCACCGACCCCCGACCCAACCTCTACCTCTACCCACGCCTAGTTAATGGAAACATCTTTTGTCAATGAACTGACGTCAGTCCGCGCGGCGATTGGCGGACCGCGCGGGCTCACGTGACCGCCGGCGAATCGCGTTGCACGGCGGCCGCGTCTCGCCCCTGCGCGCGACGTACCGAGCGCCCGTTGCTCCATTCTTCGACGAACGGATCGCGGTAAGGTGTGGCCTGTAGCAAGTGAGCGCGATAAGACCAAGGTAGAATTGTGAAAAACAATATAGAAGAGAATTCCAGGAGGAGAGCGGAGGACGAGGATAGAATACGAGGGAGAGGAAAGCGAGAAGAGAGTTTCGTGACATACTTCGAGTCGTCGAGAAGCTCCGCGTCTTCTTGGTCGAGGGAACTCGTCGACGGATCGAGGAATTTCTTACCTTGAATTTTCGTAAGGTGAAGGAGTGAAAAAAAAGCAAAACAAAAAGAGAGGAACGAGTGTGTAAAAACCTCGGTGTCGACACCGTCGAGAAGATCGTACCGATCCGATCGGACGGATACGGAAACGCGGTAGAGTTGTCGCGTACGCGGTCCAGCGTGTGCGCGGCGGCGAATCTACGCTTTGAAGGTGGGGGCGAATGAGCGCGGCGAGACGAGGCACGGCGGTGGGAGTGAAGTGCGCGACAAGGATGGAACGATCGCTGCTCGCGCGCGCCGAGAGGACGATGGGGGCGAGCTCACGGAGGGTCGGTGAGCGCGAGATAGAGTGAGCGCGTCGGTCGCGTACGGTTGGACATGCATCTCCCGCACGGCGAGCGTAAACATTCCACAGCCGTGCCGTTAATTGGACGCGTCGTCTTGATTCACGAGGAGATCGATAACCGGGACAAGCTGGCGGTGGCAGCGACGACGAAGACGACGAAGACGAAGACGACGACGGCGGTTACAGTGACGGCTGCGGTGGTGGTAGTGGTGGCTGTGGTGGTGGTGGTGGTGGTGGCGGCGGCAACAGCGGCGGGGAAGCAAGAGGTGAAGGCGGAGTAACATACGCAGCGCGGCGTAGTATCGCAGGAAATGATGGCAACGCGTGAGAACCCGTCGGATCGCGCCGTCGACGGGTGAACGTCGCGCGATCGTTCTCCCGGATGACGCGTCCGGGGAACGTGTGCCGTCACTCTCAACTCCAAGTGCCATTTCGTATATATTCATATCCAGTAATTATTAGTCGCAGGAGACGCTCGTAGGAACGCGCGTGCACGCATTCACTACGGACACACGCTTCGTTCATTCGCTTTCATTGTGGAGAACGCGCGACAGGGCTGACGACTCGCTGGGTTCCGACGGGCAATCCAGGAGTCGACGGTATTCGCGCTAGCCAATACGTGCAAATTTCTTCAAGTGACGACCAGTGACGACCAAGCAAGAATCATTGTAATTATCGTCTTAATTAATAACGTTTTTGACAGTTCTGTTGTTTACTGTTTGCCGAAGGTGCCCTGTTCAATAATGACGGCACTTCGATGTTGCAGAAGCTCAAGAATATCTTTGTAGCGGAAGCTCAGTGACTGATCACCTGAAGGAAATATTTACATTCGGAAGCTGTTTTGCGGGACAAATCAGCGCCGTTTGTTTAGAAGACATATAAATACGACAAAATATAAGAGTGCTAGAATACAAGTGTAAAGACTCAAGATGCCTGATAGTGCAATGGAAGAGGATCTTTTGGGTCCAGAATGGTTGTTCGGGGAGTTGAGATCACAGGATGGTCCCAACAAACTTCTTATTCTGGACTGTAGAGCACACTCGGACTTCTCTGATGCTCATATAAGAGGTTCGGTACCTCTGACTATACCCAGTATCATGTTGCGAAGATTGGCTGCTGGTAAAGTGGACCTCTTGTCCACAATACGGTGCTTAGATCTGAGAAACAGAGTGGAAATGTTTCTGTGTGGAGATGAAAACAGAAGAGGGACATTTGTACTAATCGGTGACACTACAGATTCTGGAGGTCATCAGAGTGAAACATTACAAGTTTTAACCCGGAGACTTAAAAGCAGTGGAGGAAACGTTGCCTCTTTAATCGGTGAGAGATCAATCTTTATCCCTATTCTAAGCTACTGTAATTCCATTTTTCATTAAGGTCACACAAAATTTGATATTTTAAACATGATATTTTAACACATGATGCATCAAATTTTTATATATTTCAAACTAGAAACAATCTTTATTTCATATACTAATCCACCGTAATTCCATTTCCATTAAGATCACAGAGTTTGCTTAATGTATTTTTAATGCATTAAGCATTAATTTTATATTTAAAACTAGAATACTTCCATTGTCTTCTTTCTGAATGATATATTGTGTGAATTGAAAACTTGCAAAAAGTATGATATAATAAAAAGTATGATATAAAATGTATAAAGTATGATATAAATTCTTATTTGTGACAATATTTCAGAAACTTTTATGTAACTAATACATTATTTTAACAAATATTTCTAAATTTAATTATTAAACATACAATAGTTGCTAATTATAACTCTGTATTCATATCATTTTATTGTCACATATATGTGCACAAGCAACATTAGTAATTGTAGTACAGAAAGGCTTTCAGATGTAACAGTCAAAGCATAGAGACTGGTTGTGAATGAAATATTGATTTATGTGGGAGGCATTCCAGTAGAACCAGACACTTAATTCTATAGCCAGCTTTTATCTGGCTTTAGATAAAACTGTTCACTCATTCAATGTTTTGTTTGATATGAGAAATTTACTGATTGCAAATGTATTAATACATACATTGAATGCAAAATAGAATATTGCTTACTTGTTTCAAGTTTTGTTTTAGAATCTAACAAGTATTTTAAGAAAATGGATATATTGAAGGGATATGAATATGTTTGTGTGATTATTAATTTTTCCTGAGTGTTATTATATGTGCAAAATTTAGTTTTTAACTTATAATTAGTTAAGGATGAGTTTATTGAAAATTTTGGCAAAATTTATTTTTAATTTAGAAATATTGATATTTTTTTCATATAGAATAAAATTTCATTTTTTAATTATTTAATTTATAGATTTAATTATTTAGATTTTAATTTACTCTCAAATAGTTATATTATCACGTTATACTTATATCTTTATAGGTGGTTTTGAAGCATTTAAAGATAAATATCCAGAGTGGTGCGAAGGTAGTCAAGCCACTAATGAATGTGACCCAGGTCAGGACAATAACGATGGTGAATTAATGGGCCTTAGATCCCTTCGGATATCCACTCCACCAACCAGGTCTTACTCAGACTCTGACAGTGACAGCACATGTGATTCAATTGGTGAGCAGATATTCCAAGTGTATATTTTCACTGTACATTTAAAAAGAAACATGCAACAGCAATTTATATTAATGAACGACAATGTAATATATAAATAATGTAATACTGTAATGTAATAATAGAGAAAATAATAATAGAAAATGTGATGTAATAATAATAGTAAACTCGTTTTTCTGCATTCCAGGTCCGGAGGAAGATAAAGATTTTCCGGTGGAAATTCTACCTCATTTGTATCTCGGTAACGCGGCCAATAGTGAAGATCGCGAGGCTTTAGCGCGGCACAGGATACAGTACATACTCAATGTGACACCGGATTTGCCAAATGTGTTTGAAAGCGGCGGTTCAATAAAGTACATGCAGATACCGATAAGCGATCACTGGAGTCAGAACTTGGCTAGTTTCTTCCCACAGGCGATTCAGTTTATAGGTGAGTGACGATATACGAAGCATATTTTTATTAAAAACTAAATTCAAGCAAGAGATAAAAGTATTTGTTTATTGTAGTTAATTTTAGGATTTAAAAACTTTGATTTATACTGCTTTAAAAATTGCTCTTTGTAAATATGTTTGTAATGTTTGTGATGTTTGTAATGTTCAGTAAATAATGTATTTTTTCAAAAACTCATTGCATGAAACATACACAAAAAACGAAGCGTTTTCGTTACAATAAAAAAATTATCAACTATTGATTGATATCTCATACTCTTACTTTATTTTCAATGAACGTTTCGTCATTCACACGCCTCTATACTGTAAAAATTATACTAATTATCTATATCAGTGATCGATATATAATATCTACAATTTAAATGAAATATTTTGTGTGCCATACGTTAATAAGAGATTTTCTTAATATAAAATATTTACAATTCACATTTCGTATTATTTTAATATACATACGTAAGAAGTAGGTGAGATTTATTTATTGCACCGGAACTTTTTTCGCGTCAAAATCTTGTTCGGACCGCTTCTTAAACAGGATTTCCTGTTTAAGAAGGTCCCCGTGCAGCTTCTGAAAGGGGCATTCTTATAAATAGGTTCGCCTAAATAGAAACTTTCCCACGTGGCGGGTAAGCCGCGCTAGACAATTAAACAACGGATGTCCGGTTAGGCCGAGAGCTATATTTATGTCTGAGTGACGAGGTTTGACATTGCTATTGAGTTGATCTGACATTTTTAACTATCCCGCCATACATATTGCAGTATTGATGATCCGACTTCTCTTTGTTAATTCCATTTAAACGAATTGGTCATGACATGTTCTATTTTCTATAGTACTTTTATCACACTTTTCTAATTAACGAACATTTAATCTATTATTAAGTATATTTTTCAATTTTTCTATCAACTAATTTTAATATCAACTAATTGTAAAATTTGACTTTCATACTTTGAAAAGTTGTAAAATAGTTTTATGTCTTGCATATTTCATAATTTCGTGTAATTAAAAAAATTCTTGAAATATTGTACATATAAATATTAAATATTGGTGTAATAATAAGCAAGATGATTGCAAAATTGTAAAATTAAAATCGTTATTTGTTGCGTATTTTTCAGAGGAGGCACGGAACTCAGATAAGGGAGTGTTGGTACATTGTTTGGCCGGAGTTTCTCGGTCTGTCACGATCACCGTGGCTTATCTTATGCATAAATGCAGTCTCAGCCTGAATGATGCTTTCAACCTAGTACGTAGTAGAAAGTCCAATGTTGCACCGAATTTTCACTTTATGGAGCAGTTACACAGCTTCGAGCAAGAATTGAGGGACCGAGGGGGAGAAAACAAGAATAACGACCAAAGGTGCATCGGGGCATGCCGGCCCAATGGACCCTGCAATTGTCCAGCGCCCAGTTTCCTGAGCCCTATTGATCTGGGACTCAGTCCCGACTCAGGAATCGAGTTTGACAGGTGGGCGGCAAGTACACCGGCCGAATGAAACGAACTTGGGGGTACCCAATACAAATTTTAGGTCTCCGTCACGTATTATCAGGAAAATCCTGATCGAACGCGTTATGATAACGCGCTTTATCATTTTTGATATGTGAGACGCATTAAAGTCCGCCCTTCGCGGTATCTCCAGATGAAATGGGATATTAGTCGCGTTTGGCGAGCACTGAGACGTAGCTGTTAGAGGCATCCGAAGTTAGTTATCGCGCCGATATCTCGTAATTTCTCGATTTTTTCTATCGAGCCTCTCATTCCTAGCATAATTATTATATTGCTACGTTTATTAAAGATACATAAAGCATTTGAAACTCTGATTTTGATTATTTGAATTCTAAAATTGAATTTTAAAAAGATTATAATTTCTAAAGATACTCATGCAAGTAGTGTCTTTAATATCGTACTACTCATGCAATATTTGACGTTATATACAAGAAAATGAACTTTTGTCTGAATTCAGAAATAATTGAGGAATGAGAGGATTAAAAAGAAGGAAAAACATCTCCAATTAGAAAGAAATTATCTCTTTGTTAGATGATTAGCTTTTCAGTATACGCGTTCAGTAATAATGCACTTTGATATATTTCTGCAGACGATGCCTGTTTATCTTGAAATTTTCAGTTACAAAGGTTGGGCACGTCACGTTGTCAAATTACGCTAATACGATGCAGTCGTGTTGTGACTTAGGGAAAGAGTAAACGATTGATACCTTTCTGCAAAAAAAAAAGGAATGTTCATAATGTTTTTTCTGAATTGTAGCAGCAAAGGATATTGAAAGTATTTTGTAAATGAGATTCCATAATTTCTCATCGCGCAACAGTCGCGCAATTGTAATTCTACATTCTGATGTTATGCTTCCAAATTTTGAGAAACTTAGCACGTATGATTGTAAACGGTATACGAGATATATTGAATTCAAACACTGTATACTCGCGAGGTATAAAGTACGCATACCGCCGTACCTCAAGAGAATTCTAGAACGTATATACATATACATATATATACATATACATATATATATATATATATATATATGTATATATTCATATATATATATTTTTTAATACTTCTTTCCCCAAATCCTTCAATTATAAGGCTGTGTTTATTTTACTGCAAGCGATATTTCATGCGCGAAGTAATCTCTAAACGACGAGTTCCCACCAGGCAATTAAAAGTAAATATCACTGCTTAGTATACTAAGTTCTATGGTACAATTAAGGAAGATCCTGTATACACAGAGGCGTTATTTGAAGTTTCACGCGGGCACGAAATGGATTTCGAATAAGACCGATAGTTTACTCGCGACATTCGTGTAAGCTACAAAGAAAGAGATATACACAGATATTTTCTTTCGGAAACTGGCTTTTCCGAAATCTGGAGGCCCAAGATAAGGCCAAAGTTCCAGTCAACTGATTCTTAAAACCGCCACCGAGCTTCTACTCAACTGTGGTAGTTTGTGTAAAAAGTAAAACTCGAAATTTGTAATGAGTAATTTTCGATGTAGTTTTTCAACACACTAAGTAACTTACGTCGGATAATCGCCTCAATGCATTCTGACCTTCGAGACGCGCGAAAGGTATATGCACATCGCCTCAGGTACATATGCCAGTAACTTAAGTTTAAGGGAGGACACATCTTAGGAATCAGTGCATTTCTGTAGGGCATTCCTAATCTCTCCTGCTCATGAGAAAACCAGGTTCGTCACCAGTTTTAACGGAGTTGGAAGAATTTGCGTCCAAGTCACTCGAAAATGAAGGCGTTACTTTCAAATTTTATTCTTTCTTTATTTGTAGTACAAAGTTCTTAAGAAATTATGAAAATTTAAAAGAGAATTTAATTAATACGCTATTTTACCAGTATGTAGCACTAAAAACATTGTCATAAAAGTTATAGATTGGACTTTTTTAAGATCTTATTTTTTGTAAAAGTACTTGTTAATATATTTTTGTTTCATTATATTATAGCCCTTGATGGGATAAAGCTTTTAATGTAAAAGCGCTGTAATTTTATGTGGATCTTAGTTTTTCACTGCTTTTGTTAGTTTATTTCTTAACATATCTCTATATATAATGTTGAAATTACAGTTTTTGTTAATTCTATTTTAATAATTGCTTTTTTTATTTTTTAAATCTAAGATAAATGTTTTGTATTATTAAAGTAACGCTTTCAAATATCGGAAATTGGTTTGATCGTCTAGCAGATTCCGTCGTCACTATTACATACAAAAATCTGAAAGATAATGGTTCCTGCACGTTACATTTTTGCTGGCATTAGAGCAATATTAACCCTTCAAATTTTTTACATAGATACTTTTCTACACGAGGATGTTGGGCCTGTGCATTCGTATGAAAACGCATCTAGCTATACATTGCTAGTAATAACTCGTGCGCTAAATTGGATTCCGAATTGAATCAGCACTGTTTCTATTATCTTACAGATCTCAGATATATATTGAAAGTTATTTTTGTAAAAAAAAAAGAAAAAAAAAAGAAATGCATTCACATTCCCGAGCCAAAATGGCCTGACACTGTAACTACCTTTTATCTATTACTATATGTATCGTTCATTGAGCATAATTGAAGTTAATATGAGTGTATACAAATGAATGTTATTTTTGGTGTAATAATTAACTGCAAGAGTTACGATAATTAATAGCTCGTGGCTATTACGGGAGTAAATTGATATATAACTAAGGAAATATATATATTTGACGTTAATGTAATAACAATATTCTACTATTACACTGTTGTCTGTTGTATGTTTACTGGGTGCGTGTGCCCGAGAAATTTAATCAAATATTATATGTGTATATTATATAAATTATTATTTTATATTCATCGTTGTATATATATTTTAACTAATTTTCATTAGAAACGCAATGTATTTTACTTAACTATAAGTAATCCATTGTCATTTAAGCAGGTCACTTACATTCCATGCAGATAACTTCGTCTCTTATTTTCCAAATTTATTTGATGTAAAACAAAATGTAGCCTTGTTCAAAATTAATGTGAACGAAAAGTAATTTTTGCATTTATAT